CGTATGTCTGGCACATACAACACATCATTCAGCGTGAGCTCCTTGCCGGATGTCATCTTGAGCTTAACTTTGCCCACGCCTTGAACCTCGGATTGGGCGGAGTTGCCCATCCACACCTTGTCGCCAGAAGTCTTCTTAAAGTCAAAGAGCATGGCCCGATTGGAGCAGATATGACGAGTGGCTCCGGTGTCAACCCACCACTCTTTCGGGTTAGACCCGACCAGGTTCACCTCTGTCACGACAGCACAAAGGTCCATGGCATCTAGCTCCGAGCAGAGAGCTTCTCCCTTCTTTTGCTTCTTCTTCTGAGGCTTCTTGCGGCACTCTGAAGAACGGTGGCCCGTAATGCCACAGTTGTAGCATTTTCCCGCGAACTTGTGCTTCGCGACGCCTCCTTTAGGACCAATCTTCTTCTTGTCCTTATTCGGCTTGGGCCCTTTGGAAGAACCCTCTTTGGATGGATGCTCCACCACATTGGCCTTAGCAACAACTACTTTCTTCTCGCGAGTGAGACCCTCTTCACGGATCCGGAGACGAACAAGCAACTGTTCTAAAGTCATTTCTTTCCGTTTGAGCTTGAGATAGCTTCGGAACTCATCCCAAGCTGGCGGGAGCACATGAATCATCGCCGCCACTTGGAATGCCTCACTGACTCCCATTCCCTCGTCAGTGCACTCATTAAAAATGAGAATCAATTCTTCAGCTTGACTGACCACGGGTTTGGAATCCACCATCTTAAAATCCAAGACCTTACCGACAATGAATTTCTTCGCACCGGCGTCCTCGGCCTGGTATTTGTTGGACAGTGTAGTCCATAACTCCTTTGCGGATGCAGCCCTGCTATAAACAGCATATAAGGCATCGCTCAAGCAATTCAGGATAAGATTAAGGCACGTATAGTTATTCGCTATCCATGCCTCTTTAGCCTGAACTGTTGGCTCGTTCGCGTTCTCCCCCACAATAGGGGGATCCTCCCTCAAGTACCTCGCAAGGTTGAGGGTGGTCAGCCAAAATAACATCCTTTGCTGCCATATTTTAAAGCCAACACCTGTGAACTTTGCCGGTTCTTTGACAGAGTTTGCAGGCAGCATGACAGTAGGATGTCCGACCGGTGCGGATGTGAAGACACCCGTGTTCGGTCCAAGTGAGGGAATGACCGGTATGGCCGAAGCCATGTTCGGTCCGAGTGGGGTGACCATTGCGGCCGTAGCCGCGGTTGGTCCAATAACCGAGGTAACCGGAGCAGACCCCATAGTCGCGCTCGATCCAACGAAGGTGGTGATCGGAGTGGACCCCATGGCCGCACTCGTCTTGTACCCAAAGTACTTGAAGTCCCGGAAAAAGATAATGGACTCGTCTTGTACCCGAAGTACTTGAAGTCCTAGTTAAACAAAGAGCTAGTAAAAGAAAAGTTGATTTTCTTGATACTACAGTTTTATACAATAATATGTTTATATTATCAAAGTAAAGAGTTTTGAGAAAAGTATATGTCTACGCTATTATATTTCGTACCTATTGTTATAATTGGTACCACTCAGCTTTTGCTGATCGGGTTGGCTCCATTTTTTTAGGTACACAAACAGAATAGTGACCGAATCGGAGGACAATGATAAGGCGATGGAAGGATGGACGAGATGACATAAAGAAAGATAATAACAATAAAGATGTTATTTTGAAATATATATTTTGTACGAATATGTTAAGCTTCCGCATGTATAATAGTTACTCTGATATTATCAATAAATAAATAAGTTTTGTTTAATGCTCCATTTTCCGATTCAAAAAGTTAGATCCGTTAACACCGCGAGTCGGATATTCGAATAAATTCGGGTATCCGGGTCGTGGCTTTACAATTTGGTATCAGAGCATTAAGGTTTTAAAATGATTTTCGGACCAAAATAAAAATTAAAAAAAATGTATTACATCTCGTCCATTCATCTGCTAGCATTGCTCCGGTAAGGTAAATTTTAAATATTTAGTACTTGGCAATTATATAAAGTTATGTGGATATATGTTTAGTAA